GATAAGAAAACTAGAGACCCTTGAAACTAGACTGGAAGCAAGAAAGGATTTGTGAAGAGTGAAAAAAGCTTCACTCTTGTCTCTATATATACTATCTAACTAGGGGCTACGTGGCAACGTTCTATAGGACCTCCAATAAGTATTGACTTTGTAGGACACATGCCTTGACTTATAAGGTAAGTTTTTCTACGTGTGGGCTACATTGTAGTTTCGTCTTCAAGCTAACAACATGTGTGACACATGGCCAACTTATTGACTACATTTCTAATCCAAAAAGTCAATTAAAGACACCTATAAAGTCAAAGCAACGTCTATAAAGCTTCTAGAAAGCTTCTATATCAAATATTATAAAGTTAACTTACTTTTATTTACTTTTACTTACTTCTATCTATTTATATATACAATTACTAGTTTACATGAGTATGTCCATGATATATAAGGATAAACCTTTCAAATAATGATGAATCTTTTTTTTCTCAATAAGAAATTTAAAACCTACCGCATTAATTTACATATCTTCTACTTTTGAATCTATGTATTGAGAAAACGTCGGTATTATCATTAAATTATAGTATTATTGAGGTGTACTTCTGTAACTCTCAAATCGATATTCAAAAAATCAATTATCATACCTTATAACAAAGTCAATTGCTTGACCCAATGTTTGAGAATTAGGTAAGTTGAGTATCAATTTTTTACTTCATATTATAATTTATATAAAAATTGACTAATATGTGTAATATTATCCTACTTGATATCAATTGTAAGTTATTAAAATTGTGAAGCATATAACAATACTGATTGATTTTCTTATTGCAAAATATAGATCTTATTGGTTCTAACATAAATTGCATCATGTTCTTTATACATAGATCAAAATTCTACCAAAAAAATCTCATGATTATCTAATATTAGATCTCATCATTCAAAAAAAGATAAAAATCATGATAATACTAAATTTGAGAGGAGTATATTAATGAATCTAACTTGTAATCCTAAATTTGATAGCTTTGGGATTGAAGTTCAATTACAAATTATACTTAATTGATAAATCTTCAAAATTTGGATCTTGTGCCATCAAACTTTTCAAGTAGGACAATTTTTCGTTCTCTAGTACCAAAAAGATATTCTACCATAGGAAAATGGATATGATTGGATGCAGATATTGAAGCAACTCCAATCATATCTATATCTTCATTTTTTGCTATTCTTGTTCTTCCTTGTGGTGGTAATTTGAATTAATGCATTACAAGCATTAACTCCTTCAATTACTCTTACATTTGTGCCATTGTATTGTTCATTTCAAGAAGCTCTGCCATGATAATACTTAAAAAATAAATGTCTAATATCTCTCAAGATAAACAAAAGAAGGAACTTGAGAACAAAGAAGATACTAAGAACGGTATAAGTTTAAAAGAAGGTAATCTGCAACTTCTAATATGCTTATGTCTTATGATGAGAAAGGCATAATCTACTCTTAATCAAGAAAAGATAAAGCTCTAATATTATAAGTATAGTCTTGTCAATCTGTGAAAGATATGAACTAGAAGAAGATGCATAAATTTGAAAAATCTATATTAAAAGAAAATAAAAAAATAGCAATTAAGTAATATGTATATTAAAAGGAAATTGAAATACCTATTGTCAAAAGACAGAAATTAGAAACTCTTAAATCTAAACTAAAAGCAAGAAAGAAATTAATAAGAGTGAAGAAAACTTCACTCTTGCCTCTATATATACTATCTAAGTAGGAGCTACATGGCGGTATTCTATAGGACTTCTAATATGTATTGACTTTGTAGGATACATGCCTTAGCTTACAAAGTAATTTTTCTATGTGTGGGCCACATAGTTATCTTGTTCTTCAAGCTACCAATATGTGTGGCACATGTCCAACTTGTTGACTACGTTTTTAGCCTAAAAAATAAATTATAGACACCTATAAAGTCAAAAGAGCATTTATGAAGCTTTTAAGAAGCTTTTATAAAAGATATTATGGAATCAACTTAATTTTATGTACTTTTATCTAATCATATAATTAATTATTGATTTATATGTATATGTCCATGACAAAGATTGAAGTTTAAGTAAGAAGTATATTATAGCATGTATTTTTTATTATTAGTATAATTAATCAAGTAAAAAATTACAAGTTTAGTACAATAAAACTTGTATCTGTAGATGTAAGAGCTTTCTTGCATGCTACAAAAAAAAATCACCTTATAAAGAATAATAAGTCTTTGCTATAAATAAAACAAGGTCCAAAAAAGATTGCATTCTACCTTCTATCTTCGATTGTAGTTTCTATGTATTTATGACAGTAAAGAAATAGAGAACCAATAACCAGTAGATTTGGCTCAAGAGCCTTTGTTTGCTAACTTATTGAATGAGACATTGTAATTGTTACAACCTTCAAGACAACACAATCAAGATAAAAATCCTCAAAAATGATATGTACTTCCTTGAATAGATGGCGAGATACACTGTATTACGTATCACGACCTTGAAAGGAACTCTCAATGTTTGGTGATTTTACTAGAAGTAGAAACAACTCTTGATGATGTTTCAAATATTTTATCTAAAGGAAGTTATGAAGGTGTCAATAACAATCAAGTAATTGGGTGGTCTTTTTGCCCTCGTATAGAATACTATTGATAATTAAAAGGCCCTATCAACCATCTTCAAAGAGAACAAAGTTTAGAGTATGTGGCAAATACAATTTGCCGCATCTTGGATTTTTTCAACATATGATGACTGTTCCTTGTGGAACTTGTCCCTAGAAAGGGGGATAATGTCATGAACATATACATGTAAACCAATAATTAATTACCTGTATGATTAGATAAAAGTATATAAAAGTAAGTTAATTCCATAATATCTTTTATAAAAGCTTTCTAAAAGCTTCATAAATGCTCTTTTGACTTTATAGATATTTATAATTGACTTTCTATGCTAAAAACGTGGTCAATAAGTTAGACATGTGCCACATATATTGGTAGCTTGAAGAACAAGCTAACTATATGGCCCACACATAGAAAACTTGCCTTGTAAGCTAAAGCATGTTTTTTGCAAAGTCAATACATATTAGAAGTCCTATAGAACATCGCCATATAGCTCTTAGTTAGATAGTATATATAGAGGCAAGAATGAAGTCTTCTTCATTCTTATCAATTCCTTTCTTGCTTCTAGTTTAGATTTAAGAGTCTCTAATTTCCTTGTCTTTTGGCAATAGCTATTCTAGTTTCTTTTTAATATACATATTACTTTATTACTATTTTATTACTTTTCTTTTAAAACAGATTTTCCAAGTTTATGCATCTTCATCCAATTGATGTCCTTGACAATTTTAGATTTTATAATTATTTCTAAAATCTCAAGTTTATTAAACAAAAAAAAAACCAAGATAAACAAAGAAGATAATTGTACTGCCTTCTTCGTCTTTTTTGTCTTTCCATTCTTATCAAAAGAATTACCCTTGACAATGTCTTTCTTTATCATTAATTTATATTTGAATTAGAGATTCTTTTCTCAATATATGGTAGCATTGTCTAATAAAGTTCACAAACTACTATTCATACTTAACTTTATAAGTCATAGTATATATATATATATATATATATATATATATTTTGATTTTTTTTTGAATAACATGTTCAATATCAATTAAAGAAATTATTCTCATTAAAAAATAAATTTAAATAATTTTAATAAATTAGAAGTATCTTAAGTAACAAGAAATAAAATACCTATTGAGCAAATTAGAGTTATCTTGAATAATTTTATTCAAAGATAAAAAGTTTATTATTGTCATATTTTAAAATTCTATAGCTATTTTCTTAGTTTTTATACAATATGTATGTTTTGCAATTATACATATAGAGATCATTGTTTATGATTTTTTTTCCATATGTGATTTATGATTATGTGGATTCAATTTGATCTGAACATAGTGATTTTTTATAATAAAAAATAAAATGATAAAAATAAAATTACTTAAACCCATGACTAATGTAACATCAGTAAAGAAATGTTTTATAGTTGAAATGTGCTTGATTTCTATTTGTGCATTAGAAATACTTTTATTAATTTTTGGGTGAAAAATAATAAAAGAAAATGGAACATATGACTAATGAAGTTTAGCCAATTGACATAGATTGACTTCATATTAATAGGCACAACACCTAAAAAATAATATGATGTTTGTTTATCATATGCATAAGCAATTGCATGTTTTGTATTTCATACACTGTTATTCATTCATTCATAAATAATGATTGTATTAATTTACACAAGTGGTTTCATGTATAGATATGCAGTTTTAAAATCGTAAATTGTAAATCTTGTGTATAATAAAAGTAATGCAATTAATAACAGTAAGAATAAACAACACAGACTATTGTGTAGTTTTCCATTACGAAATTTCATATAACACAGCAAAATAAATCGAAAACAATTTGTATAAATTGTGATAGAGAATCCAAACGTGTGTTTAAAAAAAATTAAGCCATCAACCGCAATAAATTGACAAAGCCATCAACCGCAATAAATGTGGTTCAAATAAAGTTAATTAAAAAAATCATTAGAAGTAAATACGTTACCACAATTATTATTTTACAGAATTTGCAATAAACCTGTGGCAAGTTTTAATGAGCAAGACCAACAAGAACACACAAAAAGTGATAAAACACGGCGTTTGTCATAAACCCGGGTTGATAACCAGTTCATACCCTGCAACGATCTGTCAAGGATGACGACCGGTTCCTCCTGCGCCAATGACGCAAAGAGTGATCCCATACCCTTACTGGTATGCGGAATAGGTACGTTAATATACCCTTCATTAATCCGGGTATATTAGCATAAGTAGAGAGAAATAAGATACCCTTACTCGTATGCGATAGAGGTACGTGAAGATACCCGCATTAATCCGGGCATAGGGGCACAAGCAAAGAGTGTCTGTCGACGGAGGAGTCGGTCAGTGAGTTAAGGAAGGAAGGCAATGCAATACCGAGTCGTGTCTTTCTGTCTTGCCCGGCCAGACTCAACTTCACTTGCCCTGCAAGCGCTGCTCTGCTGTGCTCTATGCTCTGTATCTCGGGGTTTCGTCAATGTACACTAACAGGGCCAGGAGGGACACACCATTGCGGGAAGAAGCTTTCCAATTCCAGGGCGAGTGCACGTCGAGGCGTGCGGCAGTTCAATCCCTCCCCGGTAGATCTAGATTCAAGGTTCTGAGGCCCGCTGGAAGTGAGATTAGTCGCAATTTGAGGCGGAGTAGGAGAGTTCGTCGTGGCGAGGGTTTGGAATTGGCCTTTTAGGGTTCAAGGAGGAGGACTGTTAGAAGGAGCGGCATAATGTGGAGCAGGTTTGAGAAATTGAAGGACAATATCACCCAGATTGCCTCTGATGTGTTGGATAGTCAAGATGAGCTAGATGGAGAGGGGGCCCCGGAGGATGGTTCATTCGAGGGTTACTACAATGAAGACCTTAAGTCTGCGCATACTCGCGACAGCGATGACGAGGGCGGAAATTTTCCCCCGACCGAGGTATCTCGCTCTTCGTGGAAACTCGTTTTTGTGCGATCTTTGGTCTAGGAGGTCCAATTTTGTGAAGAAGTTTTTGGCTTTCAGTGTGTGAGGACACGACAGGTGCAATCTGAGCGGAGTGGATTTTTGATTCTCTGGTTTAGAGGTTGAAAGGCTGTGACGCGGTGAAGACACGGGTTTCAGATCTGGGAAAATGGAATTCTGTTTAGCTCAAGTCTTAAGTGATTGAAGACCTAAAATTACATTGCTCAGTTCAAGTTATCTATCAATCTCTGCATGACATTTGAGTATCCCGCTGCATAACTCGAACGCACAACGATCGTTTTCTTAATTAATAGTCAGTTCCTTTATTAGCCATGTAATGGAACCTGTGACTACGGTATATTTTAAGTTGCATATTTGCGCAGATTCATTGCTTGCGATTTCTAGATAATCTAGCTCACAAAATATCTCTTCTCTGTCTCCTGGTCATTCACAAGCAATCGCCGTGGCATTCTTGTGTGATTGAAATACTCAGCTCTTCTTAGCCCGAAGAATACCTATTAGAATAGGATATTGAAGGAACAAAAAAGAAGGAAACAGAGAAGCTTGAAAGGTTTATATAACGCACATGCTCACTCTTGACGATTTCCCATCCTGTTTACTCTATTCAATACTCCATGAAACCGCCTACGAAAGTTTCGCTCACCCTTACTCTAATGCAGCTCGACTATTATAATGACAAAGGGGACAAACTTCAGATTGATCCGGAAGCTGCGATGAAGAAGTACAATGCTCTTCTTGAAGAGAAAGAGGTATGCTGTTACCATTTATTGTCCTTAACAATAAATAGCACATAGATTATATGATTTTCAGATGTACGAAAGGAATCTTTCACAGTTCCTCATCTATTGTTGTGCCAAGTTGTTCGAACCGATTGCACGTGTTACTCTAGAGAGCATAGCATTCTTTAGCTCTTTAACTGTGTTTCAATTATTTTTACATTTCAATGCAGAGAGTCCACACAGTTTTCAGTACTTCATATCGTAATTTTCGACGCTGTGGATTACTTTGAGCTAGAAGAGAAAAAGCAGTTGACAGCTAATTTAAGTTGGGGTTTTTGAATATTGTTTAGATTTTGCAGTTTCATCTCCTTAAAGTTTTACTTTTATTTTGTTAGATGGAGGTTTCAATCCTGCGCGAAGAAAACAAATTGTTGAAGGAACAATTTTTAATCAACAGCACGAAACGAGATGCTTTATTTAATGATCAGAATAAGGTAATTGCTCTGCCGTTGTTTTTAATATTCGTCACGGGCTTCATATTATACTATTAGCTTATAAAATTGGCCCGAGTGGCAGAATGAATTGGCATGTTAGTTAGTACGACCTGGGGATACAAAGGATGGGAACGATGAGGTAGTAAAACCAAGCAAGGATGTGCAGGAGAGGATGAATGGACATTTCGGTGATCTAAAAGAGCATCTTCAGAGAGACGAAGCATCGGTTGAAAAAGAAGACAGGGAGCCGGAAATTGAAAGTACATCCATTCTTAGACTTTAGAATTGTATTGAATGACATAGTGGCAGTATCTTTATTTGGCGCTTTTATCCTTCAATTCTTTGAATTTGTTTCTGTGTTCTGATTTGCTTGCCTTTCATTTGTGGACACTGTAAGAACTTTATTGTCTGCCATTGTGCGTTCCTTTACAATCTTCCTTACTGGTTCCCTTTTATTGCTGACATTTTTCTTGCTTCTGTGTCCACTATCTACGATTTCATGTTCTTAGCTTTTCGATTTGACTTGTTTTCTGCAGAGGTCTTGGATGATAATAGCATCGTTGCTAACAGATTTGAGTCTCCACAGACAATAAAGCTTGAACTCAGCTCCTCAGATAGCGAAGTAAGTTTGGCTTTGACGTTGGTAAAACTTTCTTATCATTGCCTTACAGGATTAAATAATTATGTGTTTGTTCAGCTTGAAATGTTTTGGTAAGTGTAATTCCATAGTACGTCATCGACTCTCACCTTCTTGGAAGTAAACCGCTGTTTCCATCACGTTATGTAATATTTTATTAAGGAGTTATTATTATTTTTATTCATTTGCTGGGCGCAATTGCAGGTAGTTAATGGACTAGAGGAATCAGTGCCGCTACTTTCTGAGGTGGAATCCAAAGACGATAAATTTCAAGATACTTCTTCTGTCGAAGAGTTAAACACACCAAAAGCAGAAGACGAACAGGTATACAAGCACAGTTTATGCATCAGAGTTATTCTTGAAATTCCATACACATTCAGAAAAACATTTATGAGTATGAAACACCCCAAAATCAACATCAGTTCCTCAGTCAGGATCAATTAGAATCATTTTGAGTTTAAGTATCATCATCATGATATATGTGTATCTGTTCTCATCTGATTTTGGTGCAGGTAGTATCCTTATCTGAGAAGCTAAGAGCTTCAGAGGAGGTTTGCTGCTCGCTGCAAAAAAGACTAGAGGATGTGTCAATTGAACGAGATGCACTTTCGAATAAACTGGAGGATGTCTCAATTGAACGAGATGAACTTTCGAAAAAACTGGAGGAAATTTCGCTGGAACCAGAGATACTTCCGAAGAAATTGGAAGACGCGCTGCTGGAACGAGACACACTTGTTAAAAAAGTTGAAGAGTTATCCATTGAGCGAGACAAAGCAATACAGAACTTGGGAAGATTAAGGCAAAATCTTCTGGACATGGTACACACCTTCTGCCTGACAGTATACAACTAGTTATCTTTAGAATTGGTTTACTTTGGTTTGGATTGTGACTTTACCTTAGTTTGTAGATCGTGTATCAAGAAGTCTTTGTAATGCAGTAGGCATATGCTCCATGATTCACCTAAAATGAAATCTGAATGTTTTAGTATCCAAGTTGTTTACGCCGTGCCTCACTTCTCAAATGGTATCAATTATGCTAGTATTTAATCCAGAACCTACATATTTTGTCATCAAGTCCCGTTATGAAATTAAGGTTTGCCTACAAGCATTTCTCTTTGATAGAATCATAACACACCTGTTGATGAGGTGTGTAGCATCTGATTTCTGGGCTATTTGAAGTATGAGTAGACAATCATGCATTATAGGTCAACCGCTATTTGTAACGCATTTGATATTATCTGACAGGAATCAACAACCTCAGAGAAGATGGACAATGACAGTTTTCTTATTGGCGACCTTGAACTGCGGTTGAAGACTGCCGAGGATTGTGTTGGCCAGTTGCAGCAAGCCCTAGCCAAATCCCAAGATGAGTTGGAACAGGCGTATAGAAAAAATGTTTTGAGGACAATGGACACCAATGAAGAGATGGAACTTCTAAAACAACGACTACAAACTTGCTCTGAGGCTCTAGAGGCTAAAGATATGGAACTCGCAAACCTTCAAAGCGCTCTCGGACAATACTATGCAGAAAGTGACGCTCAAGTATATGTTCCTTTCAATTCCTTTAATAACTCATTCTCAGCATTTGAAGCAGTTACCATTGAAGTGATAGGTTTTGCAATTCAGTCGATTTGCACTTCTTGCCTCGTCTATTTCTGATAGTTTGTGCTATCTCTTTAACGTCCGTGTCAATGATTCAGGAGCGTCTGGAATCAGAACTTCGTGCAGTCAAGGAATTGAATGCCAGACTAACCAGAGATCTTAAGGTAGGGTGTGATTTTGGGCTAACCCCAAGATTGAGTTCTGTGGTTGCTCTAGCTATTAATGAAAAAGAAATGATGATTCATTATATGAGGTTGTTCTATTTATCTCAGAAATACTGCAGAGTCCGGCGCTAGAATATATGCTCTGAAGGCTATACGTAGGTCCTAAGAATGTTATGCATGATTTACGTAGGTTCATGTTTAGAATGGCTGGTCGCATTCACATTACTAGTGCTCACATAGCTGTGTTGATTTGGAGAGCAGATCGCGGAAGGGACTATTGACTTGAAAGTTCAGGAACTGGAAGCAGTAACAAAGAAATTAGGAAATGCAGATTCCGTCAATGAGGAGTTGAAGCATAACATGCATACGCTGGAGCAACAAGTGTTAAAGCTCCGTGCTGCACTAGAGCAATCTATTACAAGCCTCAATCGCATGTCGTCTGACTCAGACTTCTATGTTGATAGGTTCTGTCCCTGACCTTTTGTAATTGTTCATGTAGGATAGGTTCAATAATTCATGTGAACAGTTTTTTTCTTGTTCCTTTTCCATTTTTCATCTCAAGCGCCTCAACAATATGAAAAGTTTCCTCTTTTCTCCATGGCTTACTTCACAGATTTTGCCCAATCGTAGCGAACTGTATATCATTCTTTTGTGTATGATGTTGAGCATGTTACTGTTGTGTTTGTGCAGGCGGATTGTTATTAAGCTGTTAGTTACTTATTTTGAAAGACATCACAGCAGAGAGGTTCAACCTTCGTACTTTGCAATTGAGATTTCTGTGCTTTTTATCCTGTAGTTCGCTTGAGACAGTCATTATTGAAAGATGCTGTGTCTTAAGGTAACTCATCATCTGCTTCAGCTTTCATTTAAACGTCAAAATAGATATAGATTCTAATGTTAGAGCTGTTGTTCTTTAGGTTCTGGATCTTATGGTGCGCATGCTGGGGTTCTCGGAAGAGGACAAGAGACGTGTCGGCGTAGCGCAACAAAGCGCTAGAGGTGGTGGAATGGTTCGAAGTGTTTTTGGTATGCCGGGTCGCATTGTTGGGGGCATTCTTGGTGGTTCAGAATCAGACCCTTATGCTCGACCTACCCCTGGTGATAATCAGGTGTGACATTTTCGCTTTGCGAAAAACTCTAGTGGAAGTTAAACAATTATCAGCCTTAACTATTTTGCAAGATCGACATTACTCCAAATATCAGCGTTAACTTCCCTTTGGTATTGGAGAGGTTTGCGAAATATCCAAGTGGATGCTTAAGTTAGAAAGATTTTTCGAATCAAAATTGACAAAATATTTTTGCGTGATCAGTCTTTTGCAGATTTATGGATTGATTTTTTGCTCAAGGAATCACAAGAAAGGGAGAGACGGGAAAGGGGAGGAGGAGGTATTAATCCTGCCCCTGGGTCGCCGATGGCGAATGTAACACGATCCATGCCGTCATCCCCTTCTGGTGGTCAATGTCATAGACCAAGCCATAGTTTCTCCAATTTTCCCTCACCTTTTCTACCTCCAAGACCCAATAGGGTATCATCTTCATCCGACTTGCAAACCATCCCTACTGGAGACCCGTGACGAAGGTTTGTCAGAATATAATTTTTATTACAGATTTTTCCCTAATTGCGATGAACTCTGGGGTTCGTCATACGGGTAACTTAAGACTAGCAGCTATTACATTCACACATTCTTTTGGTACCGACTTTTGGTTCGTGTAGTCAAAGAAGTAAAGCCACAATCTCTGTTTCTTCTTAGAGCAGTAAAGGGTAATCTCTCTGGTTGCAAGACTTAAAATTCTTGAGGTTAGTGTCTTATCAGAATTCCGGATTGCCATTACGGCCTCGATATCTGATGCTGGCGAGGTTCAGAAATTCAGATCGACTTTAGCCCTATTGTGCAGCTTTCTTTAAATGGCGTTCCAAGAGCAGCAGTTGCCTCCCAAAGTGAAAAAGATGTGAAAAATTTCCTTTTCGGTATCTTCGAAAGCCTTCAGTGTTCTATGAACTCCTAGTATCTCCTTTTTTCTACAGGTGAATCCTAGGGATTAGGTTATGTTGAGGTTAAATAAACCAACCAGTATCAAGTGCGTGAGTTTTGTAGTTTTATATACGCTGACATCCCAAGATTGTGCAGTGAAAGGGTCAAATTTTTGCGCTTCAAATGTATTTTGGAATTAGTTGTCATGAATAGGATGGTGTGAAGTAAGCTCAACCAAGTGTACAATGGCCTTGGCCTGGTAAACACAGTCTTCATCTGTATAACAGGTGTACTTAAACAGTAATAACCCAATGAATTCTTAAGTGTTGGATTATTACTATTTTAAATACTTAAGTACTTTTAAAATTATCTGTGTACTTAAAATAAATAGTTTTATTTAAGATAATTATATGTTTTAAATAATTTATTGACAATATTGCAATGTTTAATAATCATGTTCAATGAAATTTATACTAATTGTGTAGGTCATCTTATCATTTGTAAAACATGTCTAATGAATTATTTTATTTTTAAAATTTTAATTATATAAAAAAGAATCTGGAAAAAAAATAAATAAATCAATAAATCAATCTATATATATATATATATATATATATATCCAGTATTGAAATGGAGAGCTTAGGTAGAGGGGCGAAGTGTAGAGTTTAAGTGTTAAGGTTGGCAATTTGTAGTTGTGTGTAAGATTTGAAGGTATGGTCATTGTTGTGTTGATGTGTTGTAACATGGGTATTATATAAAAGAGAAAAATAAGATCTATATTATAGAAGAACTCTATTAAAGACATTAAAAATTTACTTTAAAATCTGTAGATAAAAACAGAGAGATAGTGAAGATTTTAGTCTGTATTGCCTTCTATATTATAAAGGATTCGACTTACTTTGTAGGATCATAAAGAAGGCAAAATAAGGTAGATTAGAAAATTAAATTCCTATGAGCATTTTAAGGTGAAACTAAAAAAATATTTTAAAGGCAAAAATTACCTATAAAAACCCTGAAACAATATTTTGAGAGAATGAATTGTGAACCAAGGTTGAAACTAAATCCCAATGTACAAATCCAATGCCTACATTTCATAGATGGTTTTTTTGTTAGATTAGAAAGTGAGATTTGAGAACAAATTAGAGAATGTTTCTGCAAGTGTTGATTTTGAGGGTTTAGATTTTGTAATTACATTGTGTAATAACCAAAGTTATCTTAAAATAACTTCGGTTTTTGAAAAATATTATAGAATTTACATTTTATAGGATTTTGTAAGTAAATCTATAGATGAAATTTTATTAATTTGTGAAAATAGCTGTGATGGATTTGTATTACAAATTTAAGTTCAATTAGACATTTAGATTAAGATTTATTAGAATTCAAGTTGATTAAGCTATCCAAAATTGGAGATTTATAAGACAATAAGGATTTCTAAGATTTGGAAGAATTTGCTAGTTGAATCAAAGTGAAAATCAGTAGAGGTTTAACATTTGTAAAGACCAAAACATTTGGGAGAAAATTTATGGTTTAAGAGAGAGATATTGGAAATAAGAGCTTAGCATGAAGGTTGGAGAAAGGATGCAATTCAATTCCCATGTAGAATTTTAACTTTTCTCTCAATTTGTTAACTACAATTCTTTTCAAATTTCTTATGCATGTTTTTAATTAAGAGTCTAAAGTTTGTAAAAATTCTTATATAAAATCAATGATTAATTAGGAAATTAAAAATATTTTAATGTGATATTAATCTTGCAAAATATTAAATAAGATTTAATTAAAATTTAATTAGAATTATTTTATGGTTGAATAGAACTAAATTAAGTTTTAAGTAGGAATTTTAGGATTTGAGTAGGTTTTTAGGATTTGGATAGGATTCTATTAAAGATTGATAGATTTACTTAAGGATATTTATAAGAATTATTTAGAATTTAATTGAAGGTCATTTTATATTTAAATAAAGTTGGTAGTGGCTTAAATAGTATTAGTAGAGCCCATATCTATAAGTTTATAACAAACTAAATTGTCTTAGAGATGACTAAGGCTATAAATGATTTTAAAAGTTATCTAAAGAAGGCCATTTAAGAAAAATGTTGGTAGTGGCTTAAAAAGTTTTAATAGAGGCCTCATCCATGAGCTTGAAACATACTCAATTATCTTAGAAATAAGTGTAGGACATATAAATAACCTTAAAAATTATTCAAGTAAGGTCATTTAGGAATATTGATTGATTGATTAATTAAAAAATTGATAAAAAAATAATTGACTTAAAGATTTTAGAAGAGCCACAATTTCTAAGACAAGAATTTCTAAACACTTCATACATTCTTTCTGATTACAAAAAGAACTCAAGGTAAGTTGAAAACTCTTCTATAACTAAATATTTGGTGTATTTTTAGACTAAATTTTACATAACATAATAGTGCCACATAGCTATTTTTATGATCTTAAAATCATGATCAATTACTAAGCAATATAAGAATATTTTTTATTTTTTATTTTTTTCAAGTTTTATTTAAGATTACAATTTGAGATTATTGAAGTTTTATTATTTATTTTGAGATGATATTTTATGCCTAAAAAGTGTAAGATAGAATTGATAATTCTAGATTAAATTGTTTGTACAAGAAACTCCCACATTTAAAACAAGACTAATCTTTTTTATATGTCTTGTAAAAGAAAGTAAAGTGCTTGCATTCTAAGACATCTATTAGATTCAAGGTACACCTTACTTAACAAAATAATTCCTTAATGAATTATTCCTTAAAGGGTTGACAAGGAGCTATGCATGGCTATTGATTTGAACTAATCCTTATGAAGTCTTCATAAACAACAATAGTGTATAGAAAGTAATAGCCAAGTAGTCTTAGTCTACTATTATTGCTTACTTTGTGGACAAAAGATCAAAAGACTTTAATTTAAAACTTTGAAAGAAAATCTTTGAGGAGAATATAGATAATTATTGTTTTTAGAAAGGATCTAAAGTAAGATTATGTATATTTAAAAGCTACTTCTAAAGAAGACACCTATCAAATTTTGATTTTATCACCATTTAGATCTAAACTTAGTTTTTGTACATTTTAAGCTTAGAATTTGTATTTTGATTCTAGAACAATCTAAAAGCCAAGCGGTTTTTCATTCATAGGCTTCTTTAAATTCACCACTTAGATTGTGTTGAAAGAAATTTCAAAAAAAAATCCTTCTTCTTGTCTCATAAATTATAAAAAGATTAGAAAAAAAAATTAGATTGTGGCCTTAAAAATGAACATGCTATGGATTTGAGAGTTGATTGGAACCTTATAACATAATTTAAAAATATTATTACTAATATTATAAAGTCCATTTTAATTAACTATTTAAACCTTCTTATACAATGATGTTTTGTATAGCAAGTGATTATAGAATCAAAGAGTCCAAGACATTGGCAAAAACAAAGTTACAACAAAAATCTACCTTTGCAAGGAATAATTATGGATTTGTACCAAAACACAACATTCCATGATAATTAAAACTAAGAATAAAAAAAAAATATTATAATTACATATAGGTCTAATTTATCAATTCTAAATATGCAAGTAGCTATCTTAATAGAAGGAAATGGTTTTATCCTTATTTGACTCAAATATTGTAAAAATAAACAAAATCCTAGTAGAGCTATAGAACAAGATAAAGTAAAAACTAATAGGTTTTAATACACTCCATTCACATAATATCATTGAACTAATGTTACATCTTTTATATGCATTACTTTAATAGATGAAGTATTAGAATACCAACATCAACATATTTTATCAACTTAGGTACGAGAACATCACATAAGATTTGTTTATTTTTTTTGTTTTGTTTGTTTGTTTTTTTGTTTGTTTGTTTGTTTGTTTGTTTGTTTTTTTTTTTTGAGTTTTTATTCATAATAATTACAAATACCCTCAAACATGGAGCATATGCCTTGATAGTTCTCATGTTGTAACAAGCAGCTCAATTAATAGAGATAGTACCAATCTACAAGATTTTACCTATACTATTGGACTTATAAGAAAGTAAGGCTAGAGCTCATCTAATCTTAATTTTACATGACATTCTTTTGGTATTAATTTCTATTATAGAGATCATGGAAAATTTTGAAATATGAAATTTATGGACTTTGAAATTCTATGTGCAAGATGATGGCAATACCTTCACATCACACAAAGAAATATCTGCAAAGGTGGTGTAGCATTTAAGGATATAACTTTCCAAAGATTTCATTGGAATACCATGAAAGGAGAACTTTAAGATAACTCAAATTCTCTAAAATCCGCTCTTTTGATTATATGACCATCATTAGAGAAGATCTTATGCATAATTAATTCATGATAATTAAAGCTTAAGCCATCAACGTCCATTGAATTAAAAGATGTGAATTCAAGAGCCTTTACTTGTTTATTCTTCACTTTGTTTGTTATTTTGAACTATATAATTTTTGCTATATTATGTTTGTTTTTAAAAGTAGCCAACAATAATTATAGAGAATTGTAGTTGGATGTTTGTTGCACATTTTCTAGTGACCACAATCTTTCTAAATCTACATTGTTTCTAATTTCTAGCATTAAAGACACCATGGGAGGTGGATCATGTGATATCATAATTGAAAATACTTCAATCTTATTCTTTAATGTTGCCACATAGTTAGCTTATTCCACAAACTACCAACACATGTGATACATGGTTAACTTATTGACCAAGCTTTTAACCTACCAATCAACTACAAATATGTGTAAAGTCAAAATCACCTCTATGCACCTTTTAGAAAGCTTTTCTAGAAGATATTATGAGTTAATCTACTTCTATCTAAGCATATAAGTAATTACTGGAGTAAATATATATATCCATGACACCCACCTAGGTCCAATGCTTAGATTGACGTAAATATGGTGCCAATGCTTATTGAATCTATCCACACTAAAAGCATCCCTTTTCTCATACATAGAAAACCTCATTTTCTTGTGCGACAAGAATCACCATATAAGTTGGTGCATATGACAATGCAAAAAGCCTTCAAAATTGATAAAAAGATCCAAAAATCTTGAATCCAATTCATCTAGAGAAGAAAAAGATATTTTATCTCATGGTCATAATAAGGTTGTAGATCTAAGGAATTGCATCAATAGACAAGCAAGTTAACTATTTAAACCAATTCTTTGATTTTCAACAAACTGATTTAAAATCATCTGAGCAATGATAAGAAGGGTTTACTTTACAACTTGCTCAGCTCTAGATTCTTCTGGTCTACAAAGGAGTGAGAGGAAGCTTTACATTACAAGATTGAGAACGTTTATGGATTTAAAAATCATCTCTTGTAATATGAGAAGATAAAATGATCCTTCAAATTTTTGAAGCTGCAAAGTTATATTAATCCAAAATGAGTATTTAATATAAAGAAAAGGCTTCGGATACATTTTGAAATCGGTTGCTGTCAACCAAAGAATAGAAATGGAATTAATGGCATGCTCAATAAATAATTGTGATAGTGTGTTATCTACAAAAAGAGTCAAACATCTGTTGAGGATGGAAATACTACAGGTTGCCCAAGAGCATACCTGGCTTGGCAGTGCGTGTCAGTGCTACACTGGTTTTGAGCAGAGGGGCTACTTGACTTATAGAACAACATGGACCATCCCAAAAGAGATTCCGAAGAAAACACTTCGCCCGGCAACAAACGATGAAAATGAAAACTTAATGCTTAAAAGTGTGTGTTAAAATACATGAGGACGCAGTTCTATAACGATCTCCCAGACATGATTGAAAGAAGGCCATGTGCTCAAAACCTGGATTGGAGCTGAAAATAGGCTTCACAGTTGCTAAGAAGCTGCATTGCTGAGGATCATAAAATTGAGGATCAGCGCATAGTAGCTAAGGGACTGCTAGGCTGCTCCTCGATGTGAAAAAGGTTTCTACTTGATGGGAACCAGCAAAGCTCCCACATGCCAGGCAGACGATCCCTGAAAGAAACAAGCGACCACAAACTAGATTCTCCTAGTGTATATAAACAAACTGGGTCATTGAAGTGAAGCCACCAACATAAACATGTCGAAAGTGTTCACTTCCAAATGAGATATGATAGTGTGCTAGAAAAATTGTTTACAGAAACAGGAGGAAGAATGTCAACATAGCAAACTCTGCCTCCCAAAATAGCCAGAAGATTCAACAGCTTATCATATCAGTTCTAGAATATCTAAGCAAGGTAGTTGTAGATCTGAGGATTGGCTTTGTCCCTTTCAAGGTACTCCCGGTCAATCAAGCTCTCGATTCTTTTCTTCAAGTCAGCTGGTTTAATTGGAAATTTCAGCTGCAATTTAACATCACATGCGTTTAACAACAAAAAAAACACTTGAAATACAGAATTTCAATAACAGCACTACACATCATCGATGACTTGCAGAAGTGAATCCGAAATTCTGGATAATAATTCGAGGTATGAAATATTCACCTGCTGAAATAGTTCAGTTATTAACAATGTGTGACTTAACACCTTGCGTGTTTTCATGATCCGTACGATTGCAGCATCGATCTACACAAAACAACCAAATTGCAACAGAATCAACGAAGTTACATAAATATACAAACTTGAATTCTAGATAAATCGTGGGAAAAAAGTAAAAAAAGACTGATGTCTGGTGAGTGCTTGTAAATCAGATTGCGAGGAAATCTACAATCAAGTCAAAGTTAATAACTTCCAAACCTGATATTGGCGGTCCTGAAAGACTCGCTCTGTTGTAGTCGTATTCTCCTCAACAGTTTCCTTTAATTGTATTGCATTGACCTGATATAGGCATTCTATGAGTATAAATATCCGTAGCTGTTCTTAGGCTATTTGGCAGACGTGCAGAACTTAAAAAAATTATTAAAATGCGAGAAAACCAGAAAACATTACCTTGATTCGGAAGAGAGGAGCAACAAAGTCCTCATTGAAAACAAATGTGTCTTCATCTTCCACTTCTCTGCCCTTTGGTATCTGTATTCACAAAAACGAAACATTCAATAACATTTCATCTAGGGTACAGCTTCAACTTCTAAATCACTAATCAACTTCACCTTCAAACACATGATAAATCTAACAACACCACATATTACCCAGGTCAATATCATTACAAATGTTATACAACTATCAATATTTATATAAATATATGTTGCTATCAATTGAGGGTATCTGCAATATATATTTTTAGATAAAACATTAAATATACACTGTACCTTGTTCAAAACACGAATTTTACCACACGCCAATGATTGAAGGGTTCTGCGAAGCTCCTTGTCCTCAATGGCAGAAGTATCTTTAATGTCGTGAAAAGTCAAAGACTGGGCATCGTTGAAGAGCATCAGCACTAGAGTCTGTGGAGGGAGAGCGGGGGGAATAAAAAGTACGACGTCAGATGAGGCCTCTTAAACAAATCATACGTAAACAATGCAACAGACATAATTAAACATTTAGTAGGCGCTCCTGAAAAGCTAAAGTCGACGTTGGAAAAAAATGATTCACTTTACCTGGAAAAGAGAAACAGACAGCTCCTTCTTTCCTTTTGGGAAGTTGGCCTTCAGCACACAATGACCCAAAGAGTTTTGCCACATCAGACGTCGCCCACTGTGCTTACTTAGATAAAACTCCTTGAATATGTCCTGATACACATTGAGCTCGCGTGGAAGCCTAACCTCCATGGGTGGATATGTAGGCCAATAGCTACAACACCAAAAAATAATAAGATAGAATGCAGATTGCAAGTGTTAATCACTACACAATACTTCACATATAAAGCTTGACAAGAAGGCATCCAGAAGTATGGCACAAACCATTAAAAGAATCAACAAGAGAGCTTCGAGTGACTAAAAAGGTTTATTACCCAGTAGTGAGGACGTGAACGTTCATCTCAATTCCGGAGGGGAGCTTTAGCCGTGCCTGAGCAGACTGCCTAAATGACTCGTTGATTTCTCGAGAAAGCTCGATGTCCTGCAAAAGTAAAAGACAACAACAATTAAAATCCATCACCCTAAGCGCAAGAAAACTGAGTGTTGAGAAGCCAGTGTAAACCAACCACCAAAAGCTGAAGGTAACAAAAGAAGCAAAGGCATCGAGCAGAACAGAATTTGCACCTATCAGGAGAGAAGACTCATACCTTGAACATTCCTTCCAGTTTGTTTGTGAACTGACTCCCACATTCCGTCTTGAGCTGACAAAAGAGTACAACATTCAAATAGAAACACATCCATGAGACCGAATAATTCACCAGTGGTCTTAAGCTAACATCATGTAGGATGAAATTAATGAGTGGCAGAAACAAGGACAGGCATTCTAATCGCGCTGCTCCGCAAGGTATAAGAGCTCCATCACGAGCTGGACTGCAATGCTGAGGAACTCCATAGACTTCCTACACTTTCTTACCTTTGATATCATGGATTTCTCTGCATCAATGGAGGCGCTCTTTCCTAGAAGCAAGCGCTTAGCAAGATCCTTCTTGTAGAAAGCTTCAAATACATCTTTACCCTGGATTTAACCATTAAAAAACACATCCAAAAATACATTAAATCTGAAACAATTATCAAGTACAAATATACACACTTCAAAGACAATCCAATTCAAGAGGCACGAACTAAAAACACATACAAGATTTCCCATTCTAAAGCAGGATATATGCCACCCTTCAAAAGAGCAAGATTGTTCGTGTGCGTGTGTGTATGTTTTGAGAAATACAAATTCCCACGCAGATCAGGAAGCTCTAAGCATACCTGAATGAATCTAAAAAGCACCAGCACTTTATCAAGAATGCCCTCCAGCTCCTCTTCTGAGGTTCCCTTATTGCCAGAACGCAGCTTTCCATCAATGAATTTAGCAATAAGCTCAGCAGGCCGATTCTGAACACCATCACTTACCCATAATCAGCCAATGCATCCCAACCAGACATTAAGCCTCACAAATTCAAAACAAGTTACACTTTCAATCAAACATAAACTCATCTACACTAAATTCGTTATTTTCATCAAAATATTAATTAAAATGCGCAGTATATCAAAACTGCAACACGATAAAACAAAAAAAAAATAAATTAAAAAATAAATTATACGTGGATACTTTTTGGAAAAAATCTTGAACAAGGATTACCAATTAGCGAAATTATATTTTGAGAACCCGCGTCACACACACACACACACACACACACACACACACTCTCTCTCTCTCTCTCTCTCTCTCTCTCTCTCTCTCTCTCTCGCTCACACGCACCACCACCACCACAACCACCAACAACAACAACAATAACAACAACAACAAACGTGGTATTAACCTCTAGACTTCAACTCAGAGTTCAATTGAAGATTATATTCACCTGACGCAGATTGATCAGATGCTCGAACGCATCCTTCAAAGTGTTGGAAAAAGTTTCATTCCTAAAGAAGCTCTCTTCCCAGATAGCATCAAGTCGGGCCTTCAGATCTAAAAGCCAAGACACCATATCCTTATCCTTTTCTTCATCCATCACAGTGCTATTTCCCGTCGCCTTGATATAAGTGCTCAGGGCCATCTTCAAGGACTCCAAGGTATTCACCCGTGCAAACAACATGTACATCCGTTGAAGATCTGCCAAACGATTCGCATCCATCAACATGCTGAACCCCTATCATCACCCGCATGGCAGAGACAGTTAATATTCTTTCCACAAATGCATAAACTTTAACCGCAACTGATTAGAGAGAAACAAAAAGGAAAGAAACAAGAATATCTCAGTATACATTATCTAAATGTCAAGATAGCAAGGCCTGAGAGCTACAAAAACTGAAATCATACACATGCATTCTTTGATTAAAAAATGCCCAATCCTTATGATAGTATTAGTGTGCTCTAAGACGCAACATGATTTCTGATTTTCTATATCAGATTGACTAACCATATATACATGAAGAAAGGTCCATCTATTTCCTTGATCATTTTGAAGGGGAGGAGCTGAAGATCATGCTGCATTACCTTCTCCAGAATTGCAGTTGTATGACGACTAAGAAGTTGTTTCTCAGCAGTAGCCACCAGTGATTTCCGAGTACTTCCATCCAGATAGAGCAGGCACCGCTCATTCTCTTCATGAAGTCGATTCTGCGCAAACATAACGTCTCAAAAAGCATATTCCTGTCCGCAGTTCGTGGACCTAAAAATTGAACTCAAATTTCAGCTGGGACCTTTAAAAAAACCACCAAACTACTTCCTAGATCGAAAAACAGTGTACTCACCTCAACATGTTTAAGATAATCAGGCACATCTGTTTGCTGCATAAAGCGTATCCCCTCAGCTGCATAGAAATCGGCAGTACAATCTAAGAACCGCCTCTCAAAGCTCTCTGAATATATACAAAGAGCACTAAACATTCGTAGCAAGTGTTTCAGTAAACTCCGATCCACAGTCTCTCCCATCCTGCATGCAAACATAAACCCCAGGATAAGGTCATGTTCCAATCATCTCCGTGAAAACCACAAACAAATATTACATCATAAGCACAGCAAGAAATAATGATCCTTCCCAAAATCGTCTGATACTTAACAATGTGGTTACTAAAAAACCGCTCCTTGAAAGCTGTGCACTGAAGCTACTTGCCACATCTAACTTATAACCTTCAACACAGAAAAACATATCCAAGCTTACCACTAGATCTCACCTCTCCTTCTCGATAAGCGTGAGAAGACCAGAGACAGTCTTGGACTCAACTTCAGGGCAAGCTGAAAGATGGCGGCGGAAAAGTTGCAAACCCATATCCCACAACGATCGAACACCTGAATTCGGGATAACATAGGTTCGATCCAGATAGAGCGCAATGCTTCGGATAAGAAGCATTTGGTCGCAATGATCTTGCCAGCAACTTTCAACATGAGACAGGAACACCACAGAATCAGGACTGCGTCCTACAAGGTCTCGCAGCTTGACTGAAATGTGACTTTCACACTCCTGCTGCAGTCTCCTGTACAAATTCCCTGCCATCTTGTGAAGGCAGAGGTCCTCTACAGCCTGTAACGAAACCACAGCTGGCAAGTGTCAAAGATCAACGTTACTCAAACAGCTGAATAATGCATGTGAAGCTTCCAATCCTGACTCAGAAGTCAAATTTTCAAGTCAAAAGTCATTGTCAAACTAATGTTAACATACCCACGAAATGAGAACAATGAGCAACTAGACGACGCGATATGGACTTGCGAATCCAAGCCGCCATCCTTCATTTCACATAATTTATAAATAAATACCATATATTAGACTTAGAAGTCACAAAGAATTTGCATACCCGATATAGCTCCTCTAAACTGCAATTCACGGGCTGCTTTAAGTGAATTGCAGTTACGGCTTCTCTGAGCTTGGCCCATGTCACTTCTTCGAAGTCTTTAGGCAGCTTTGGTTTCTCTGTATTAAAAAAAACCCAGGCACATCAGGAACTTCAAGTATTCGAACGCACAACCTGTTTCGTATTCGCTAAGCTGCAGATAACGCACATTAGCGTTTCGTCCTGACCGACAGTAACACTGAAACCGATGAAGATTCTCAAAGTTAAACAAATAAGTACTCCACGGGCTGGATGCAAAAGATCCAATGCGAGGTGTCATCCAGCGCTTGATGTGAAAAATCGAAGAACTACTGAGAAACTGCCCAAAAGAACGGTACCAACCAACGACTCTGTTAACCAAATATCCCACTTACCATGTCACAACGATTCAGACATTACGAAGGTTCCATAAAGCTGATATATGATACTGTTCTGATCAAAACTCAAGACTGCTCCAACGAAATTTCTAAAATAATTCTCGATTGCAATTCCATAGGCTTCAAGAACTCACAGGAAAATATAAGATAAAATAATATATATATATATATATATATATATTATTTTTTTTTATGACAAGAATTTCCAAGATCTGGAGGGATCTACCCATTGACATAACATAGAAATCAGAGGTGCATTTTCACGAGAGAAATAAGTTGATTTCAACCACAATAACCACCGGAAAATCATGACAGCCTGTCGCTCGAAAAATCCTTAACCAACCTCACCAGCAAACGGAACAGTCGAAAACCCTAAAAACGTTGCTCTTTGATTAACAGAGCCATGACTGACCTCAGAACCTCACGGCACAAAGATACAGCGCAAATGATACTTTCAATTGCAAGTGCACAGCTAAATCTAATCAGCATTTCCAACTAATAATTACGAACAATTCAAATCTCACGACCATATCCAAAACCTATACAACTTAGAATGTGCACAACAGTTATTAAAGGAAAGATGCGCGTGCTTCAATCCTCATCGACATCCCACGAGAGAAACTACCTTTGAAAGGCTTGATTACCAACTTCCTCGCAGGCTGCGGTGGAGTGGCCTTCTTCCGTGATAAGTTCGCTGTAGTCCCGATTCCAGGACTACTACTCACAGTCATCGCCGATGCCGGCCCAGCAGATGCAAGATGGTCCTCAACGCCATTCATTAACATCATATCAGAATTGGTGACCTCTACAGCCATCCCCAGTTTTCCATTTTTCTCAAACCCATCCGGTATTGATGTCTGCTGCTGGTTCTTTGGCTTCTTGGTAGCTGATATCATATTCAGCGAGATGCCACCGCTTCCTCCGCTACTGCTGCTTAATCTCTTTTTCTGCGACATCAAATTCTACACTACTACCCCACCAACCTGACTGAAACCTAAGGGCCCCGCCCAACGCTCACCACGTCAACTCTTCCTCGCATCGCTGACCTACCCCTCCTTAGTCTCCTTCAATCCGCCAGCTCACAATCACTCTCCCACTCACATCCACCAGAATTGCCGAAAACAACCAAAATCACAAACCACCGAATCTCGAAATTCGGAAATCCTAATCAACTCAATCTTAAAAAAAAGAAAAAAAAGAAAAAAAAGAAATCTAAAAATCTAAAAAGAAAGAGAAAGAAAAGAGCAACACCACCACCACCTCTTCCTCTCACTCTCCCTCCTATCCCTCGAATTTCACCCTCCTCACAAAAAATCGAAAGCAAGCCCGCAACTGCAACCACAGCGACACCTCACAGAACCCGAAAATCCGAACGCAAATGCCAGCAGCAGCAGCAGCAGCAGCAGCTACGGCGGAGACACGAAAGGGCTGTAAACAAAAGCCATGCAGGAGGAGGAGGGAACAGGGCAACAGGGAGGGAGGGAGGGAGGGAGGGAGGGAGGAGCTGCTGCAGTAAAGTAAGTGTGGCCAGATTCGTGAGGGAGAGGAAAGAGTGAGACAGACAGAGAGAATGACGGAGAGAGGGAGCGGAAGAGGGGCAGAGAGAGAGATGGCTGGAGTGGGGAGGGAGTAAGGAAGGAAGGAAGCAGACGGGGATGGATGGGATGGTGGGGTACTACTAGTAGAAGTAACATTGCTGACTCTGAGATAGCCAGAGAGAGCCAGAGAGAGCCAGAGAGATGTTGATTAGTTACATAACTTACTTACTATTTCTTTCTCCCTTCTTCTTCCCTTCCCCTCCCTTCGTCTCCTTCTCTCTGTGTGATCGACGGACATGGCCCCGAATACTCCTCCCTCCTCCCTTCTTCCTCCTGTTTCGACTCGTCCTTATGCTTCTTCTTCTTCTTCTTCTTCTTCTCCTCCTCCCTCCCTCCTCGTAGGCGGGGCTGGGCGGGGCTCCCCTTTCACAATCCCCATTCTCCTCCCTCCCTCCTCCTCCCTCCTCCTCCCTCCTCTGCCCCGCTCCGTCTCTCTCTCCCTCTCAACCCCTTCAAACCCCCTTTTCTCCCAATTCTGTCCTGTTCCCCCACGGCAACCCCCCTTGGAACGACTGCTGACGTGTCTCTTAATTCACATTCCATCTCTACCCTTCATCCATCTCCATTCCGACTTCATCCCTCCTTCCCTTCCCTCCCTGCTCTTGAGGGTGCAGTTTTAGTTCCTTTCTATTATTATTGTTTTCAAGAATCAATATCAGTTAGAATTGCAATATATTCATCATTTTATTTTTTATATATTATCATGAAATTATACATATATTTTTACATTTTTATGTATTTTTGGTAATTATCATTTTTTTGTAATCTAGTTTTTAAATCATTACAGATCATACTCATGAATACAAAAGTCACAGATGTTGGCTTATTTTTTTTCCGTGTCACCATTTTCAAATTGGACTCACCACAAACCATGAATTCGCAACTATATTAAAACAATGTTATTTCTAGTTGTGCGTACGTTCAACTGTATAAATCTCCATTGTGAGAGCCTGCGTAGGTCAATATTTACCTTTTCATTGTTCGTCGCTCACTTGAAATTCACCCAGTCTTGTTTAAGGACATTTCGAAACACTCCAACAAAAGAATCAGTCTAATATCTTGTGATTACTAATTCGCTAGTCAACTAGTTTTTTCCAACCAATACATACGAGGATTAATTATAATGAGTATACAACACACATGAAACAATCACTGTAGGTACCCACGAGCTACTTCGTTGAGCGAATGGTTGCGTAATCACACACAAATGGTTAAAGACAACTAGAATCGGCAGCTGTAAATGCAACTTAAGACGTTCATTCGCAAACCAACTCCAAAGAGTCATGGGTGATCTCAACAGAAAATCAACAGCTAATCCTTCATGTACAAGGGCTGCAGTGCCAGGATACATAATTGATGAATATATTACTATCCCACCCTGGAAAAATCTACTGTCAATATATATATGAAAAAATATATATAAATGGTTACAACGCTTAACAATAGATGGAACATAGTCTACTTTGCATTCACCTCTTCGAGGTGTCTGCACAGTTTAGCAGGTTGAGCAAGCTAGATTGAAATGCTGTTGGGAATTCCTCGCATGGTGATCCCGGGCCCAGATTTCTGCAACAAAAGCTCGTAGGGGAGAGTGCCAGCACCTGCCCGGTGTTTGTTCGTCAGATCCTTGTTCCGCTCAATAATGATCTTGTCCACTTCGGCCAATCGGCTTGTGAAGGCCTGGAAAGCCTCCACTGCCCTTTGGTCATTCGTCCAATTCGTGTGCATGCCGTTGTAACCGAGGTACTCCTCGTCCGGGGAATGCGTCGACAGCGACTCCACCACCATCATTAACACGGTGGATTGCTCTTGGTTGGGCAAGGTTTGTAGCATGAACTTGTGAGGATCCTTTAATAAGTCCTTGAATTCGGGTCCGTCTACTTCCGGAACGAATTTCCTGGCCAGGCACGGCTGGTTTGGAGGAAAGCCGGCGAAGTCATACTGGCCGAAATTTACAGCTGCGTGATGTCCTGAGGCGATCCAAATCATGGTGGTTAGTATCTTAACCAAAGTCTCAGGGCTGTCGAGCGTTGGCCACCATTCCTCATCCGCCTTGTCCACATGACCCTTGGTACGAATCTCCGTCCACCACCCCTGGAGCTCGGCATCATCAAGGATGGTCTGGCTGTCGGGGTAGTACAGGGAAATGTAGTTGCGGATCCATTCCTCTGTGCTGGACCACACCAGAAGCCCGTCAGCAGCAAAGGGATAGTCCTCTATCCGAAGACGCAGGCCATGAGGAGCAGTCTCGTCCCGTTCAGCCATCCCTCTGCAACAGAAATAGGTGGACAGAGAGTCAGCATCGCAAACCCACAATCATTCTGCACTGCACCGAAAACCTTAGTTCGTATGTGAAATTCCTGGGATCAGTTACTATTCACTTTTGTTCACGTCTTGTCGCAACAAATTTTGGGACATGTCACTGGACATGACTTAGTGTGCACACCTTCGGATGAGATCTTCAGGCAAGGCCTCCTGATCAAACCGCCACAAAGCGTTGTACACAACAGCGCTCATTTCCAGGGCGTATTTTCCCGGGGTAAATGTCTGCTCAATGATTCCTCCTGCAGCAATTAGATTTTGCCTTGCTGCTGCGTTGATCTCCATGGTGTAACGAAGGTGAGGGTGGAGGAGCTTGGCAATCGGATGCAGGGCGCTTAGCTGCCTATATGTCGCAATGATATAGGGCTCTGTGCACGCATGTGTGCGCAACCTGTGCAGCACATGTCCCCATCACTCCGTCATTCTATTACTATAATCTAGAACCCCAAACTGCTAGTAGAGTCCAATTCATAGAATCTCAAACATCCCATACTCTCAAGTTTTGAGACTTCAAAGTTAAAATTGAAGTGAACTGTACAGGAGCAGAAAAACCCTTCGAAGAGTAAGTTTGGGATGATAACACCTATTGGGTTAATTACGAGCTTCTACATATTTTCTTCAAATTTTCTCATGCTTAGTGTCGAAAGACCACCCCCAAACAATAAGAAATGGCAACTTACCAATGGCTAACGAGCTGATGGTAGCCTGAGTCGGCTGTGAGGAAGTGCAGTTTGGCAAGCTGCCAGAGCCAGAAGGTGGTAGCCTCTTTACCCGGCACGAAAACACGTTGGCTACCGGGACCTCCTTCGATACAAGGCGGCAAACTAAGCTCTATTGCAACAGGTCTTAAAGCACCGTCGCTGTGCAAGAAGAACAACGCTCGCGTCGCATACATCTTCCGAGCCTCCAATTCGTTAATTCTCTTCACATAAGGCATGAAAATGTCGTGATAGTCTATGATAAACAGTTTCTTTGCGTCCATAGCCTGGTACAATACGAATTCTGGTTATGGTGGCAATTGCATTCCTATCCAAGAGTTTTGAACAACAGTAAAGAACAGAGAGTCCAACTTCAAAAAGAGAGTTCAAGAATCAGTTCCGTAATCCACACACTTCATGATCTGACGAGTCTATTCCCTCTGCTTCCTTCGGACACAATGTATGTTTACCTCAGCCACTGTCATGCCTCCCAACTGCCCCTCGATGAGCTCAGATGTGATAGCTGATACTTGCGGGCCGTAATTCTCCTCAGAAAGTGTGCTTCGAGGTGGAAATTTCTGCAACACAGATCATGAGCATACTGGTAACTACATGCTGCTCTCCGAACAAAACGTCCACTCAAGCGATCGTAACCACCTAACAGTTCATCCTTGACACGGGCCGTGCGTCAGAAACTAAGCGTTTCATTCAATACAAACCAGCTGCAGGAAGGTTTCTGCAGGTCTCCTTAAGTGGTCAAGCACCAGCTTACCTCGAGACAGTTGATAACACAGGGATTGATTCCGGCCAGAGTTTGACGAGCGAATTCGTCATCGCGCATCCACGCAAACCTATCTTTCGAAAGAATTTTAGGTTGAGGATATTTCAAGAGACTCTTCGGTGTCGTGGTTGTCCGAATGACTTCCCGTATAGAATCTGGAATTGGAAGACTATTCAGCAGTCGATTTCTCTCTCTCGTCATCTCCGGAGGCTCCTCTTCGTTGGCTCTTAAATCCCTCAGAAAGTCGGGGATGTTGAACTCTTTCGCGGCTTTCTCACGTATTTCGTTTCCTAAATCCAGTCCTTCTAGAAACAACGCCTCAATATCCTTGAAAGTATCAAACTCTCCCGGCGTCTCGTCAAAGAAATCTTTGATCGATGGCACTAGTTTATGCACAAGACCACGCAACGAGTTCGCAGTAAAATTGGATTGCTTCAAAGGCTCGAATCTCTCATCACGAGGGATGTATACCGCTTCTCCCTTTTCGATCTTTTCCTCTTTCGTCGGGTCTGCAACACCAGTGTTGCCACGAAGTCAGACAACATCCCCTCTCTCTCTCTCTCTCTCTCTCTCTCCCTCCCTCCCTTCCTCCCACCAGACAGACTCCCATCACACCGTTTTACAAAAAGTATTTGCTGTTTTTTTAAAGAGAATTCTAGTTAGCGAGCAAACAAGTACCTGCTTTGCAAGGATCACGGCCAGTGCGAACACGGCGAGGGTACTTGAATTCCCCTCCTCCAAGAATGGGCCGATTCAGAAGTTCATAATCCTTGTCAGGATTACCAAGATCATTGTACACTTGATAGTCGTAAATGCGTTCCCACTCCTTCCGCATACCCGTGCCATTGCCTCGCAGCGTCTTCAGCTCCTGTTCTCGTAAATCCTTCAGACCAGCTGGAGTTTCCCAGGGCATATAGACCTGAGCCAACGCACCAAGTCAGACATCTTGTCGACATTTGTGCTCTCTACATCCGCTATGTATTGCTTTATACAGAAGAAACCAAAACAAAATTGGAAATTCTTCTCCGTCTAGGTAGGATTCAAGAGAAGGTCTACAGCAGGACGAATAGGCGTTACCTTATTGTTGAAGAACACCCTAGGTTTAGGATCTTTGGTGGACGACGCAATGTAGGAGTGGCAGGGGAAGTAGACTGTTCCTGATGGCATTGATAGAGCGATGGATTCGATATATAACTCTGCTTGATGCATGTTGCGGACCAAAATGGCCCCTGGTTCCCCGAATTCGCTAATATTCAATCTAAACTCCGCCGTGTATTGCACCTTGTCTGCCTGCACTCTGGCCTTCTCTGTCCAGTCCTTAATGAACGTCTCCTTGCATCTCTTGCCAGCTCCCCCTGTCATCGACAACCCCTGAAGCAATAAGAATCTTCATGTAGCCTCCTCAAAAGGTCGACGCTATTAAACTCTTCTAAATTCGGAGACAATGCTTGAAGCAAGCACTTCCAAGAGGGCCAGATTGGTAAGTACCTGCATCGGCGTCTTCACTGACGAGCTGGAAAAAAACTTTGCTCCCTGTCAAATCAGAGAATACGTCCACAGCTTCTTCAATCTGCTCATCCCTGCTCAACCGCTTCTTTTTGGTGACTGTTATCACCGCTCCGACCGTGCTAAGCCCCGTGAAGGAGGGCGGCCTCACGGAATTGGTATTACGAACGACCACCTCGGAAATGGAATTTCCATTCGTTGTGGTAGAAGTGAATGGCGTGGAGGAAGCGGTGCTAGTTTGGTCACTCACACGGCTAACAACAATGCTTGGATGACGCTGACGTTTGCCAAATTGTGGCACCGAGTCCGCCAAGGGGGTGCCCCAGGTATCCTGTTTGAGTGAGCCCAAGCTTTTATCGAAGTTGACAAGAGCTGAGAAACTTGAGCCTGACAATGAAAGTTGCGCCATGGCCGGTTAATCTCTGAAAAAAAGCAGCCACGCACCAGGTTCAATTTCAAAACGAATGCAAGATTCGATAGCCTTATCCTCTAGCATTAACAATTTCAGCCTCTGATAATTTCCTGCGACGCTACACGATACTGGCAGCTCTGTAAAAGATTGTAACCCATGAGCAGGACACACAACGAAGAACAACATAACCATCGGAGACGTTATCCATGTCTGCAAACCTCGCCACAAAAAAGCCATTGCACCAACACTAGAACCATCACTTCATCTCAACCTCGCTCTCGCGTTGAGCTCCAATCAGATGCTATCGAAATCCAAATATAGATATCGACACAGACAACACCCAAAACAACCAAGTCAACGCAGCAGTACACTCTCCAGCTAAGGCTCAGCATCAGAGAGTGTAGCCATAATCACATACCAGATTTCCTGGATCCGAAACACTGCACTCCACAGTCACTAACTAAAGGAATTCGGGTATTCTACCTTAATCTAACATTCAGAACACCAATCCCTCAGCCTCAAGAGATCAGGAGAAGAGAGAGAGAGTCCGAACGACCCAAAATATCGTGACTGAGATTCTGCCCCGCCGAGCCAAAAATACTACCGCTCACCATCCACAGAGTAAGATATGTACCCATGAATGCGGCGACAATATGAGACTGCGACATCAGGAGATCTCACTCGGAGAAGGTCCCACGGGTTCTGTGATGTTTTCCTGGTGCCGTGAAACCTCGCCACGGTTGAAGCACGTGCGAAAGAAATCTTCGTGTGTCCCGCTTCGGAGCAAATGCGTTGCCAGTGAGTTCGCGACTTTTTCCCCGCTTTCTTTCTCCTCCTGCGTTTTCCATCTCTCTTTGCCTTTTGGAGCAGAAATGGGCTAACCCCTAATTATTATTACGAAGATACAGGGTCAGCGTAGTTGATGTTTAGCGGTAGTGTTTCAGTCACGGATATAGAGTAGGGTGAATTACGTATCTTATCAGCATGGATCGAATCTTGGGGGAGTATGTTTTCGGTGCAACTACACCCTATTCCCTTGTACCCGGCAGCTTGACTCAAGGTCCTTTCTGATGTTCAACTTTAGTTTGAGGGGATCCTGTTTGTCAGAAGTAGGCCTAACTCTGAACTTTGTGTGTTCAGTTCCCATTCCGTTCCTTCTGTCATGTTATTTCAGAACGAATCTCTTTCAGCAAGTGGGTTCATCTTGGGGCCAAGCTGATGTGCGAATACTCGAGTCAATTTTGTCATTGGCTGTGTAGAGTCAACACGCATCTAAGTAGCATCATAAGATGTATCCTACGAAGGGCCCCGCGAGAGATCAAAATATATTACATGGCTTTATTGGTGTTAGTGGAATGTGCAACCATGAAGATATGGTTGAGGTGAATGATCGCTTTAGACAGAGGGGTTTACGGTGGTAGACGAATGGAGGATAGAAAAAACAAGAGTATGGAGGCCAAGTGTCATGTTTTTCCTTCCATAGGTACTACTTTCATCATCTTTCAGAAAGTGAATTTCACATTATTTTTGTTCAAAATGCTGCCCGCTTGCGGTGGAGTTAATGTTTTAAGGAATGAAAAAGTCATCCCGAAGGCTGGAGATTTTTCACCTGAAAGAATAGGTTTCAAACATTTCTTTCATGTTTATACCTCCGTTCGTAGCACTGCTGTTATTCCTAGGACTGCATTGATATGGACTACGAGTATAGGATTAGGCGTAATCAGTTTCGTGGCACCTGTCGAGCTCCGACAAACATTTCACTTCTTGTTCAGCGTAACCGGATACTCGAAGAAGCAGATTCTACTTACCCAAGATGTGCAGGTAGCGTGGCACTTAAATCTATGAAGGCAACAATTGCAGAGACAAACTCAGGCATACTAGAATGCAGACCCTTCTGGGGGCGCTGCTTTACTGGACTGCTCTAGTAAAGAGATTCTCCCACACCAATTATATTACCCCTACATCTCTCATAACAAAGGAAAGCTCTGAGATAGACATGTGATACAAAAAAACGTACATGCAGGCGACGTATGTAACAACCGATTAAGAACCTCAGTCGAAAGATGGTGATTGTTTGCACATCACAGAGATCAGATGTTTTCGGATTTTTATTGCATCACTGGTTCTCACGGCACCCAAATGATAAATTAATTGAAGTCTATTCGAATCAGAAAAGTAATGAGTCAATCCTCAGGGAACCCTTACGCTCACGTAGGACTGGGGCGACAATTCTTACTCATCATCTTCGAATCACACCCCTCGTAAAAGTAAAAAAAAAAAAAAAAAGTCCCAAAGGCGATGTCCATACGCAAGGAGAACTGAAGAGGAAGATGACCCTGACAAACAAGGTGGAAATACCGCTTGAGAAGATACCACCTGTACCATCACATGTATCTATAAAAGTCGACCAACAAAACGCGCAAACATATTGACTGTGAACAGGACAAAAGTAATGGTGAAGGGACGACCCAACCCACGTCGCGCCTGACCAGCTGAATATTGGCGACTTTTACGAGGCACTGCATCATTACAAGCAAGAGGCTTGCTCGGGCAGCACCAGATACCAGAGGCCTCTTTCACATTGACCCAAAAACTGACCCGGCTAACTCAGACCCATAGTCTAACATAGTACATCACAATAGCAGCAAAAGGAGATTGACCGCCACCTTAACACTCGACCGAGCCACACAGGCCAGAACCTACAGCCGCAAGCCACAAGATGCCAGAATGAGGGGAGGGATTGTGCTTATGTAGCGGATAGATGAGCTCCAAACCCTAGAATGACCATGACAGTAAACGCCGAGCCCCTGACATCTCTGTAGATGGATGCACATCCATCGATCCCTTGACTCCCCCTTAACTATCGCTGATCACCTCGGCCCATGTGACTCTCACTGGCCGTTGCATCGGCTGTGAAATCCCGTGGTATGAGGTTGGACACCTTCCACTGGGATTTCACTTCTCAAGCTCCAATACTGCATTGATCAATATGGGGCTGTACTCTGTGTGGAGCATAGACGATGTCTTCTTGCCCTCGTCAACCATCTTCTGAAGAAAGCGCAAGAAGCATCAGCCTTCAAAGGCAATAATCATAGAAGCAACGTATGATCGTTTTCAAAGAGCACACATTCTTTCTATCTTGAAGTAGTAGGAGGGGACTGATCGACACTAGGGCTGGACTTTTTTTCGCTCGAGACGTTAAGAAATGTATCACAATCTAAATGAGGATAAAGAGAAGAACGAGAGCTCACACTCACCTCCTCATTTCCAATCTGTTACTCGATTTCATACACAAAGTGACGTGCATTCAGGTCTGTGATGCTACATGAGGTGGAGGAAATGGGGCCATCGATTTTTCACCTTAGCAATCCTGAACTCTTTCAATCGATCTGAAGGGGTGCTTTCGAAATATCTTCATACAGTGAGCTTTTTCACAAGATGAATGCATCAAAAATGCCAAACTTGTCCATACAAACCTGAAATCAACTTTCTGCAGTCTGCTGTAGCCAGGACTTTAACACATTCTCAACAGTGTCGAAGGTGTCCAAAATCCTATTCTGTTACAAAACCGGGATGGGTTATGAAAGCAGGATGGACATCATTTGTTGCAATTTAAATGTGCCGGAAACCAAGGGGAGGGCACTTCCGGTGTATTAGTTAAGATCTAGATAAGTCACAGCTTTTGGTACATATGATATGGGACATTCAACACTCTTCCTCTTGAAGAGTGACTTAATTCTTTACTAAAAAAAGACCAAATATATCCCTAAAAGCTAGAAACTTATCTCTAGGGAGAGGTTTTGTGAAGGTGTTTGCTACCATCTACTTTGTAGGACAATACTCCAAACCAATTTGTCTTTTTTCCATACATTGCCTAATAAAATGTTTTATATTTCAATGCTTTGTACGACCATGGTATACTAGATTCTTGATAATAACAATGGCATTATGGTTATCTTCATAAATAAGAATCTATTCCAGTTTAGGAATGTTATAATCCTTAAGTTCTCCATTTAGTTACAAAGTCTCTCTTCTTGCAACAGCCAAAGTTACATATTCTACCTATGTTGACAAAACAAAAACTAAAGTTTGTTTCTTGCTTGACCAAGTGATAATTGCCTTGTCCAACATAAATAGATAACCTTCTATTAAATGGCACGTTGTCATGATGTAACACGACTAATAGATAAAAGAGTGTAGAAACTATTATAATGTAGGAGATCTTAGTTCAAAGTATTAGAGCAAATTATCTTAGAAATATAGTTAATAGTCAAAAGGGTAGTAAAACTAAAACGTACCAATGCTGCCTTTTTAGAAAGGTGACTTCTACTTACTTTGTAGGACCATAAATAAAACAAAACAAAGTATATTAGAAAAATAAATGATATAAGCATCTTTAGAAGGAAGTTAAGAGTAAATTCTAGCAAAATTTACTTAGAATAACTAGATATTGATACCTAAAGAGGGCCAGTTATGAACCACGGTCGAAATCAGACCCTAAGGCACAAAACTGAGTCTCGACGACGACTCTAGGATTCTTTTGCAGATCGAAGAGTGGGATTTGATAGCAAACTAAATAGGGTTTCTATGAGCATTGGATTTGGGCAATTTGGAATTTTTATGACTTTGTAAGGGCTTTACAAAGTCAAGATTGTTTTCGGATGACTTGGGTTTTGTGAAATAAAATAGGGTTGATGTTTCTAGTGATTTCAAGAATTTTGTAACAGATCTATAAGTGAAATTTTGTGGATTAATGGTCATAGTTGTGTTTAATATGTGTTGTGAATCTTAGCTTGATCTAACGATTGAATTGAGGATTATTGAGGTTTAAATGAGTCAAGGTCTAAGAAAGTAGAATTTTAGGTCTAGTGAGGGTTTTGTAAGATTTCTTGCAATCTACTAGTTGAATTGGAATGAAATTTATATGAGAGGATATTAGACTTGTTTTTCTATGTGTATGAGAATTTTGAGATCAATCGAATAGTAAAAAAGAGAGATATTGGCTCCGGGAGATTGGCATCAAGGTTGGAGAAGGAGGCCAGCCAATACCCGAGCACGTTTTTGAGGTTATCGTCTATTTGGTAATTCCGATCCTTTTCAAATTTTTTGTGCTTGTTTTTAACTTAGTTTTTTAGAAGTATGCAAAATTTGAATTAAGATCAAAGGTTCATTCATTAGTTATTGAGGTTTAATTTTATTATAGAAATTACTAAGATTTGGTTAGGATTTGATTTACGGTTGGGATTTGGTTAGGGTTTGATTTAGGGTTAGGGTTTGGTTAGGGTTTGATTTAGGGTTAGGATTTGATTAGAGTTTTCTTTAGGGTTTAGAATTAGGGTTAGGATTTGGTTAAGATTTGATTTAGGATTAGTGTTTGGTTTAGGATTTAAGATTTGATTAGGATTTGATTTAGGATTAGGATTTGATTTAGGATTAAGGTTTGATTAAGATTTGATTTAGGAATTAAGGTTTGGTTAGGATTTGGTTAGGGTTTGGTTTAGGATTTAGTATTAGGATTAGGTTTTGGTTAGGATTTGATTTAGGATTAGGATTTGGTTTAGGATTAGGTTTTGGTTAGGATTTGATTTAGGATTAGGATTTGGTTTAGATTTTAGGATTTGATTAGGGTTTGATTTAGGATTAGAGTTTGGTTTAGGATTTAGAATTTGGTTAGGGTTTGATTTAGGATTATGGTTTGGTTTAGGATTTAGGATTTGGTTAGGATTTGGTTAGGATTTGATTTAGAATTAGGGTTTGATTTAGGGTTTAGGATTTGATTAGGATTTGATTTAGGATTAGGGTTTGGTTAGGATTTGATTTAGGGTTAAGATTTGGTTAGATTTTGATCAAGATTTGATTCAGGGTTTAGGATTTTATTTGAGTTTGTTTAAGATTTAAGATTTAGTTAGTTTTGGCCTAAAGTTTGAATGAAGTAAGATTACAACTAGGATTAAATTAAGATTGAATTGAAATGTATTTGAGATATGTTTGTAATCACTCTAATATTTCTTTAAAATTTCTTATTGTTTCTTTGGAATTCCTTTGAGGTTTCTCTAAATTTGATTAAATTTTTTTTAGCATTGTTAGTGTTCTATTCAAATTAGGATTTTGTTGTTGCAATTTCCATTCTACCTTCAACAACCAGGTGCCCGGAGCATTCTCAAGCAAGATATCACATATTAAGACAATGGTTGCACCAACTACTTTTTAACATCTAATAAATGATATCTTTTGTGAATTTCTTCATGATTTTATCTTCTGTTATTTAGACAATATCTTAATCTATTCCAAGAATAAAGAAAAGAATGAAGTTCATGTTCATCATATGTTACAAAAACTTCAAGATGTAAGGTTATGTGCGAAGTTAGAAAAGTGTCTAATCCACTATACTCAAGGTTAACTTCCTAGGATACATCTTTTCTTATGAAGGGCTAATGATGGATCTAAAGAAGGTCCAGACTATTATAAATTGAAAGATTTCAAGAACAGTAAGGGACGTGCAATGCTTTTTGAGCCTTGCCAATTACTATCGGATCTTCATTAAGAATTTTTCTTAAGTTATAGGTCTTCTTATACATTTGACTTGTAAAGACAAACTTGAGTAGAGTAAAGAAACAGAAGCATCATTGGATGCTTTAAAAAAAATATATATTTTTGTACCAATCTTATATTGTATCAATTTCTTTAAAGTATTTTTTATAAAAAGAGATGCATTATAATTTTTCTTAGGTACAAAATTATCACAAATAGGAACAAATGACAAATTTCATCTAGTAGCTTTTCATTCTAAAAAATTTTCAATAACTAAGATTAATTATAAGATCTAGAACAAAGAACTCCTTGCAATTACAGATTCATTTCAAGAATGGCGTCATTATTTAGAATGCGCTTCGAGTCCAATCACTATATATATAAATCGTAAGAACCTCAAGTATTTTAAATCAGCATGTGTTTTAAGTCATCACCAAGCTTGTTGAAGCATGTCTTTATCAAGATTTGATTTCAAGATCACTTATCGACCTAAAAAACAACAAAATTTTTTCAAATGTCCTTTCAAGACATTTTTATCTTGCAAAAAAAGAAGAAAATGTATCTTTAGATCAACAAAGAATAATTCTTTTGAAGTCAAAATATTTTTATCTTCAAGTAATAAAATCAATATTAATCATTGATTTAATATTTATCAAACAAATTCAATCAAGTATGTCCTTTGATCTTCTTATTTAAGATATGAAGAATAATTCTTC